GGCCATGTGCTGGTGACCACGTACTCCGGCCTGCAGACCTATACCCCTCTTCTAATTCCAGTGGAATGGGGCTGCGCTGTGCTAGATGAGGGCCACAAGATCCGCAATCCCAACACTTCGATCACTATCCATTGCAAGGAACTCCGGACACCACATCGAATCATTCTGTCAGGCACACCGATGCAGAATAACCTCTCAGAGCTTTGGTCGTTGTTCGACTTTGTTTTCCCCATGCGTCTGGGGACCTTGGTGAACTTTCGAAATCAGTTCGAGTTCCCTATCCGTCAGGGCGGATATGCTAATGCTTCAAACTTACAAGTGCAAACAGCAGCGAAATGTGCAGAGACTTTGAAAGATGCCATCAGCCCGTATCTCCTGCAGCGATTCAAGATCGATGTTGCCGCGGACCTTCCTAAGAAGAGCGAACAGGTATTGTTCTGCAAGCTCACGAAGTTGCAGAGACAGGCGTATAAGGCATTCCTCGGCTCTGAAGAGATGCAGTCTATTCTCAAAGGCCGCAGGCAAGTGTTATTTGGAGTGGATATTCTGCGAAAAATTTGCAATCACCCAGACTTACAGAGCCACAAATTTACATCACATAAAACAGACTATGGTGTCCCTGATAAATCGGGCAAAATGAAAGTCGTCAAGTCACTCCTTGAGCTGTGGAAAGATACGGGGCATAAGACCCTTCTGTTTACACAACATCGTATCATGTTGGACATCCTTCAAAAATTTGTGGAATCTCTGTCGGGGTTCAATTATCGGCGGATGGATGGCACCACACCTATCGCCCATCGGCAATCGATGGTTGACGAATTTAATAATAATCCGGATCTTCACGTGTTTCTCCTTACCACAAAGGTAGGAGGGCTAGGAGTAAATCTAACAGGGGCTGATCGGGTGATCATTTATGATCCCGACTGGAACCCATCAACCGATGTGCAAGCCCGTGAGCGAGCATGGCGGCTTGGACAAAAGCGCGAGGTTACAATATATAGATTGATGACGGCTGGGACAATTGAGGAGAAAATTTATCACCGACAAATTTTCAAGCAATTCCTCACTAACAAGATATTGAAGGATCCTAAGCAACGCCAGACTTTTCAACTAAGCGATTTGCACGACTTATTTTCTCTCGGAGAAGAGGGCCAAGGTCCCACGGAAACAAGCAAAATTTTCAAAGAAGCCGACATCACCTACGAAGAGGGAGGTAGCACGACCACTCAGCCGACACGCACAGATACCCGCGTACAGAGTCACCCGAGGGACCAACAAGATGAGAAGAAAGACGTTAGCCGTGTTGAAGGTGTAGCATCAATTGAGAACTTTCAGGGCGACTCGGAGCCGGCGGCCGACAAAGACCAGGGACCTCCCGGTGCTTATAAGGAGTCACGTATCATGGAGGGCATCTTCGCCCGCTCTGGCGTTCATTCCGCGCTGGAGCATGATCAGATCGTGAATGGCAAGCGCGTTGTACGGGCGGATCCCAAGATTATCGAAGCAGAAGCGAAGAAGGTCGCCGCCGAAGCCGCCGAGGAGCTGCGCCGAGCGGGAGAAGCAGCACGGTCTGTGCCCATTGGGACGCCGACATGGACAGGTCAGTTTGGACTTGCTGGGAGGCCAGAGGAGCCCGCAGCTCGCCCGGCCTTCGGTGGAGGTAGCAGTTCTGCGAGACGAGCTGTAGCCGGACCGTCATCAGCTAGCATCTTGGCCAATCTTTCTGCACGCACTCCTTCCCGAAGCAACAGTAACAGCCCCGCGCCAGGCAAGGCCCCTAGTGGTGCGGATTTCATTACCATGATTCGAGACTTTATTGTATCCCACGGCGGGTCCGTTCATACGCAGATGCTGATTGACCATTTCAACCGTTTCTGCACTACTCCGCAACGGTCAGCTGAATTTAAGGAAATGCTGAAAACCATTGCTGTGTTGGAGAAGGGTGGACGGAACGGCCGAGGCAAATGGTCTCTGAAGTCAGAGTACGCTAAGAAGAGATAATTGGTCGTTTCCTGCTTTTTTTGTTCTCCTAACCCTAGTGTTTCTCTTCCTTCCTCCCAGGTCCGTGCGTGGCTTGATGAGCTGGGACAAAAGCTTGATGATACTAGGGGCATTGGCGTGGTGGGTATTGTTTAGAACTAAATAGCATGCTGCCGTGAATGGGCTTTTAACACTGGCCTCGACTTGGGATACGGAGTTCCGTGGCTATAGAAGGGAAGGAGTTGTGGGTTTCTATACTACTTGAATGCTATCCTTGGCCAATTGTATATGGTTTATATAATAATAGAAAGACACATAATTCTTCAAAATATAACTCGCTCCCTCTCCCTCTCCATATAGGCTAGTGTAATGTCAGAATATACCCAGTGTTCCACGACTCGCAACTTCGTTTTCTTCGCAGGGGTATTAAGAGCTCGGTGTCGTCCACACGGGTTCGTAAGTAAAGGAACAATTATGATTACTAGTGATGCAGGACGGGATTTTGTCCCAAGCTTACGTAGTGGAACCCGATGATCATGATGTAAATAATCAATCGAATGCATTTGTATAGAAGAATAAAGGATACTCTCCTTCGAAAACCTGGTCCTATCTTTCCTCCGTCTTTCCCCCATCTTTTCCTTGTCCTTTGTCTCCCTTCCTGATTCCCATATTTTCCAACGTTGGTTGGCATTGAGTTGATTGCTTAGCACGATTGAGCCTTGCATATTAGCGTATATGGAATCGCAATACTCAAAGTGATTTTGTTCAATCCTTGCAGAATTGTTCCTGTATGGTCAGTGGTGGCTCACCCATGGATCCGAGGTGGAGAAAAGAGCCGAAAGGATAATTCTCGACGTAATTGATTCTGAGGTATGACAGTAGCAAAGGTTGAACCCAGGGAACTGATATGTTTATCCTTATCTGCCAAAAAAAATTGTCCGAAAAAACCAAGAGGCGTGAGAGACGAAGCTTATGCAGTGGTCCTTTAATGTCGATGTCAGGTGTATCACTGCAGTATTGTGGAGGAATCATCAAAAATAGAAGCGAAGATCAGTTCGAATTAATTTAAGATGTATGAGATCTATTCAATCAGGAGCCTCAGAAACATTTTCAAGACCACCTAAAAAAGAAACATGATGTACATTATGGAGTAAGTCTGTGTCAAATTTTATCCACATCGACTACACAATGCATTGCCGCACGGAGAATAGGAACCATACATGATGTACTGTACTGTACATACATACTGTGTACATGTTCACTTTGAGGGAAATAATTTTACAGAAATAAACCGATCATACAAAGAAGACTGTGTGTGTGGGCGTATGTCTCAGAATCTCAGCAATTCTCCGCGTCTTTATTCCCCAGCAACCGACGATCGTTCAACTTCACTGGTCCACTGGGCTAAGGATCTCCGCTGTGAAGACCCAGTTCCATGATTTCTTACGCAGGCCAAGTGGAAAGGATACAACCGCGTTCGGTGGAGCTCTCCCTCCACTACCAAGTCAGTGACTGGCCCCAACTGTAGTGCCACTCACTCTTGTCTCTTTCTCTCTTTCTCTCTCTCATTTTTATTTTTCTTTTTTTTTCTTTTCTGTTTCCGTGAACAATACCAAACCAGTAACTAATCATTCCACTACTCGGGGAACCGGGGCCGATATTCTCTCCACAGTCAAGGGAGAAAGTGCATGTGGTGCGGTGGCTATTCGGGCATAAATAGTACTTCAATCCCATCGCCTCCCTTTGCCACCCCGCGATCATACATTCCACATTCCTCATCAATCTTCAATCTTCAATCCTCACCAACCTGTCTTTCTTCTCTTTCTTGTTTGTTAGATTATTTGTTAAGAATACTTATTACTATCGCGCCTAATTGATCCGAACAGAACATCGAATTCTTTACACAATGAAGTTCTTCTCTTCGTTCGCTCTGCTGGTCTCCGCCGTGGCGGCCAACCCCATTCTCCGTACTCGCGACACGCCCAAGGACCTCTTCCATCTCAAGACCACTGGCGCTGACAACTCGGCACACAACGACCTCTACGTCTACGGCTACCACACCGGTGCTGGATTCAACGATGCTGTTCTCACCTCGGACGTTGGTACCGCAAGCCCGGCATTCCTGAACGGCACAAATGTCCAGTTCAGTCTCGACACACCTTTTCCTTGGGGGTTGGTAATGCGACCACAGAACAACTACGGCGGTAAGCTTTTCCCCCTTCCCCTGCCCTCGGGACACAGGAACATAGGATTAACATTTCCACAGCGTGGGAGCCGGTCGAGATCAACACCGGATATGGTAACAGTGATTTCTCCATCAACGGTGACAGTCTGGAGTGGTCGGAACAGCAGGGATTTGGCGGCTGGTTGGGTAAGTTTCCATTTCTAGTGGAGCCCTCAGTCCAATGTCAGGAACTCGCCACTAACATCCCCGCAATAGTCTGCGACTGGTACCACAATGCGCCCCAGCTCTTCTATCTGTGGAAGTACCTCCAGCCTACTATTCCCTCCTCCTGCAGCAAGGTTCAACTCAACGTCGAACCAGTTTCCTAAAGCGGAGAATCTGCACGAGGTTTGCCACTGGCCTGCCATGGGTCTCGGAGTGACCGAGGCTTCGTGAGTGGTGCTTCCATAGGGGATCCGGGAAAGACGTCCCGGTCCCTGAGATGATTGTATCAATACTGGATACATGTATATGCTGATTTAATGCTAATAATCATAATGAGTTGCTTGGGATGAGATTTGGATTTTGAGTGTATATTATTACACCGTGGTTGACGATCTTCGGTACTTAATGACCCTGATGTTACAGATAAATAGCAATAGCCAGAGCAAAAGAAAAATTCAATAAACATGGTGCGCATCCAATGGTCGTCAATAGTTGTTCAATGGCTGGTTAAGCGACCGGGGAAAATCCTTAGACGGGGAGAAGAAAACATTCAGGTCGTAGCAGTTTTCCAGCGATATAGTTGACAAAAAGCATAGAGATGAGTTTAACAATAATTCCGGAAAAAAAAAAAAAAAAAAAAAAAAAAAGCCATGATAAGTTTATCGGCAACAAGAACGAAATTAGTTTGAACTAATGGAATGAAGAAATCACACGGTCGCGCGACTGCCTCAGGCCGGCAACCGCCCCAAAAATAGCCCAGAATGTCTCACATGCGCCCAAAAGGGTTAGAACAACACCAATCAATCAAGTTGTTTCTTCGTTCCCGCTGTTCTTTTCTCATCGTCCTTTTCACCAGACCTTCGAATGTCTTTTGTCTATTTGTAGTCACTTGTGATTGCTGTGTTTTTTTTTCTTTTCATTTCCCTCGTTTTTGTCCTCCCACTACAACACGTTGGGTTGTTACAATCCCAGTCACTCGCTTTGTTTACTCGTTCAGGGTCCCCTCATATCATATCATATCAACCGATCTGCATGTTTCACCGGCCCACCGGTCTCGAATAGGACTTTTACAACCCCCCCGTTGCCATTTCTTTCCGCGCAGAACTATTCGTCAGCATTGCATTGAACACGATACACCTCGCTAGGTTCATCCATCCACCGTCGGTCAGCGTTCGTGACTTGGACACAAACGCTCGGAACTAGGGAGGACATCGATCCGACCGTCGACCTAAATTTGAGATATCCAGGGGTCCATCGATCATCCATCTTGTGGTCCAAACTAGGCAGTGCATCTTTCGGATTAAGTCAATATGCGGTCCATCGCTCTTCTTCCTGTACTATGCTTCCTAGTCTTGCTGGGCATGGTCTCGGCTTGGCCACACCCACACGGTGAAGTCGTGGCTAGAGCGGGTGAGTATCATCCGGAACCGCGATCATGCTTTGTTCAACAACCAACTGACCTCTATAGAAACAACCTCTGCAGAGACTGCTGCTGATAAAGCAACAACCGGTGCTGCTGCTACCACTGAGCAGAGCGCCACGAAGACCGAAACCCAGAGCGACGCCACAGAAACCGGTAAAAAGACAGGCAAAGAGACAGGAACAGCGACTGGCACAAAGACTGGAAAAGCGACGGGCAAGTCGACCAAGACGGGTACAGATGCCTCCTCTTCCTCGATCGATCCTCGGGACCCCGTGGGTGGTATTTCGATGTTTACGTCTGCCGGAGCCACTACCTACTATAAGATCGGCGAATATGTGACCTTCCAATGGAAATACACCTCGCTTCAGGTGACACCGTCGGCCGTCAACGTCGTCGCATCCTGCAGCAAGAACAGTGAAACCTATACCATCGCGAGCAACATGAGTGTCTCGGAAACTGGCAAGGTTGTCTGGGATACCAAGAAATACCAATCTAATGCGACGGTTCCACTGCTGACTGCGACGTACACTTTGTATGTCTACGATGTGAACTCCACGCTTGGAGACACTGCTTCTGCTGGACACTTGGGCTCACAAATCGGTTACAACTTCGGAATGTACACTCCGCAGTCTTACACCCCTCTTGACCGTACGTTCTCCTTTCTCCCATGGGCATCAAGTCTCGTTTGAAACAAGCTAACACTAACACGCCCTAGATTACACCTGTGCTACTTGCAACAGTGCCCTCACTAGCACCGAACGCAACGCTATCAAGTTCGCCGTCGGCATGGCTGCTATCACCGTCGCATCCTTCACCTGGTTCGCAAGCGGCACCGGTGTCTTCTTCACGTAATTCTTCAAAACCGACCATTGATGAAGTTATACGTTACCGTTTCCCGTTGCATTTAGCTGAGCGATTTCTCATGATAGCGATCATCAGCAGGCTGGACTGGCGTTTATGTGATTGAATTGTGCAATATGGTTGGGATTTGTGATTTTGGAGATTTTTTTTTCTTCCCCTCCTTGTCGATCAGAGCAGCAGCGGGATTGTTATAATTATTCTATATGATGTTAGTCATTGTTTTATATGATACTGTCAATAGATAAATAGCTAATAGGGCCTGATGTATATGAGGTCTAAATATTGTAAAGAATTCGGAGCAAGCAAAAGTATCAAAGATAGAAAAAGGACCATACAAGAGAACAAAGAACAAACCGCCCTAAGCGAGTAAACACGCCCGTTCATTACCAAATTTAATACTGCCTTAGCTGGCTAATAGATGTAAATACATATATATCGCCTAGCCATAATTACAAATTCAGTCTACGTCGTATTGAATTGCGAAACGGATCATTTTTTTCAGGATGATACACATCCAAGTTGATTCGACAAAGACTAAAGCTTGATACTTCCTGGATCTGGTCTAATCCTTGCTCCGGGGGGATGCCTTTGGTTATCGTTGGCTTTGGCTTGTAGCTAGGCTGGATGAATGATTTTTTTGTGAGGGGAGGGGGGATGGTTATATATGCTTGGACAGGGCATGGTCATATCGAATGAACTGGTCATTATAGGGAAGGTGTCTGGGATCCATATTTTAAGGGAGCTCTCGTATGAGCCTGCTTTTTTTTATTTATTTTTTTTTGTGAGTTTCATCCAAGGGGGAAGTAGTCTAAGATTCTTCGTCCTGGAGTATGGTTTTCAATATAGTTTTGTGGTGGTCTGGTTGTTTAACTGGATGAGAAAGCATGGTATCTTGACAAATAATGAGTTGTAATGAGCCCGATAATAGGGCAAATGTATTGTACAGCCGAAGATGTTGTAGTGATAGTAAAGCTATTGATATGATGAGGGTCGAATAATCAGATACAGCTTGGGTGATAAGCTTCCCAGATTGGTGATTGCTGGGGCACAGAGAGCTGCTTCTGTTGCCGAATGGCCGGTAGTTGTGCTGCGTTGTCTGTCATCTTGCCGCACTTTATGCAGGGTGTTTGTTTAACATCAGAGTATGATGATATCATGTCCTGGTCTTTGTTAGCTTGTTTACTTGGGGGGATCTGGAGGAAACCACCCACAAGAAGATAGGCGAGGTCCCACTGTCGCGAACGAGAGTTCAAATAATCGGATGCTGCGCTCTCGAGTTTCGTCTTAGCTTGACCAGGCATCGTTCGGTTCGAGACCTGCCATTCAGGCACGCCGTTCACCTCTGATCCACCGACCGTATGTACCTTGAATGTCATACCGGCCTTTGGTAGGACAACAGTGATAGCCGTCTCAGTTTTACTCGGCAAGATTCGCACTCCAGGCACATTCTTCTGGACGAAGCTGTCGACAATCGCCCTCCAACCCCCTTCAGTGGACTGGATCCTCGAACGCTCGAGCTCCTCCTCAGACTTCTGATGCTGCTCCATCCTGGCATTTTCCTCTTTGACAAGTTCTTCAAGGAGGGTACCGTAATTCCGATCCCAAACACCGGTCGGTTGCAACAATTGCCCGCCATTCTCCTTGATCTGCGCATCGACACGTTGCCACACAGCGTTCATTTCAGGGCTGCGCCACATGTTCTGAAACTCTGTCACCTCGGCGACACCAGCCTTCGCAGCTTGCGAAAGCTGCTCATACAGCATCTGCGGCGACCTCGGTACTGCCCTCCCCGCCGCAGCCTTTGGATTTACAATAGGCACCAAAGGCTCCAACAAACGGTCCGGGAGCAGCGTCCGCAATTGATGAATCTGGCATCGCACATTAGTCATGTATACCCAAGGATGAGCGGATGTTAAGACAAACCATAGCCTCCAATTCCTGGAGCTTTGCGAGAGATGATACGAGCTGCATTTCCGACTCAGAGACTTGCTTGCTTGCATTGGAGTCTTGTTGTATTGCCGGGGATGATGTGGTGTTGACAGTTATGTTGTCACCCTCGGACTTGATGACATTGGTCGGGATCATATTACTATTGTTTGGCTTTGTTTCCGAGACCTTCGGGGGGCCTTGTTTAGATGGGAACTCCATCTTGGGTACCACAACTGGTACCGTGGGGAATTTCGGCGCAGCTTGTGATGTGCTGGTCATTGTTTCCGAGCACGGAGGGCGACGGGCTTGAAAATAAATTCAGTCCACGCGACGCGCGTCCCTGCGTACAAAATATCTTGAGAGAGAAAGATCCGAACAGGACGATGTTGGAAGTGAATGTAGTGATAAGTGAAATTCAAATGGGTAATTCAATACTCAATTAGATTTGATGCTTAATTGACTGGTGAAGTCCTCAATGATTAATAACAATGCGAGGAATGTGAATGCTACTTCTTTCTTATTCACTTCTCGTGAAATTTGAGGATGTGATTTAAAAGCTTCAAACGGCTGAATCAATGGGCGATATTCATCCAGTGACCGGACGGAAGTGCGCCACATGTTATATCAGCCACATGTGGCTGGGGTTTCTCTACACTTGTTGGATACTTTGGTGCCTCAGGCACAAGGACTGATCATGGCTAGAACTCAGTATACAAATCGAGCGTTCATACTCGATCGAGTTGATTTACTGAGGTCTATTGTTGGAACAATTCTTTTTTACTGGAATATCGAACTGGAAGAGTAGTCTAGCGGAGATAAATCCTGAAGACTTTCAGCTAAATACATAACATACAGCCTAGAGCGAACTGTATCCAGGGTCTGCCATTATGTACAGTCATAATCATTAAAACATTCAAGCATTGCATTATATTTGGTCAAGTCAGCTTTTTTGCACTGATGAGTAAAGTCTGACCTTCACACCCCGATCATGCGACATGGTGAGAGTAGACAGGATCGCGGGCTGTTTCAATTCTGGGTCGGCGCACTCGAGGGTATCAAAGCGTTGGATCAACTTGACAAGGGTATAACTTGCTTCTGTAAGTGCGTATTGCTCTGTAAATCCCATGGTTAGCGTTTCTCTTGATATGGGGGAAAAATGAAAATATAACTTACGACCAAGACAGATCCGAGGGCCTCCGTTGAATGGAAGATAGTCCCAACCGCGTCTGCCATTTTCCTCCCAGCGCTCTGGGCGGAACGAATGAGAATCGGGTCCGTATAAGTCTGTACGGCGGTGCATAGCGTAGACACTGTATGCGACAACTTGACCCTTTGGAACAAAGACAGGGGATCTTCCATCAGGGCCGCCTCCAACTGGCAGGGAGGTATCTTTGGCAGCGACACGGAAGTTGAGAGGCACCGGGGGCAACAACCGGAGGACTAAACTTGTTAGCCTTATAAACTATGACTGATAAAGAGGCAAAAGCACATACCCTCGTTCAACACATATCGTAAGTATGGGATATCTTTTAGTTTTGCTTGTGTAATTTCTCCCTTCGGGGTTTGACTATCCCCAAACTCGCCGACGATGGTTTGTCGCAACTTCTTCCAAACATCCTGGTTGCGTGACAAGTAGAAAAATGCAGAGCTGAGCAGACTGGCAGTGGTATCACGACCAGCCACAAGAATGTTGAGCATATTATCTCTCAGTACCTTTGGATTATCGTTGTCTGCAGCTAAAGCCTCCGCAAAAATATATCTATCAGACTTCTTATCCGGATTATTCTTGGACTGGATAGCAAGCTGAACATAGTGATCAACAACCTCGTGAACACGCTGATTGGCATCACGGAACTCCTTCGGGTTGACCATCCAGTAAAAGTGCATAGCACGCGAGCGGGTTGTCAGATAGTCTTGGGCGGTACCAAATGCCTCTGCGAATCCCTGTGCACTTCCGACAGACGATCTCCCCAAGAGGCTTTCGCTGTTGGAAGATTCCAAAGCGCCTACCGATTCTCCAAACAGGAAATGCGTGGCAGAGTCAATCGTTAGAAGGAAAAAGAGACGTTGAATATCGAAACTCGAACCATCCCGGGGAATGAGATCAATCATACGGGAGATATGACCGTCCATGAGCTCTAGGTCAGCCACCTAAGAGAGTCAGCAGTTATACCCTCCAGTAATTAGGGGGTTTCCCTACCTGATCTCGGGTGAATTGAGGCCGTAACAGCCCACGTGCATGAGACCAGCCGGAACCATCGAGAGTAAAGATTCCGTCTCCAAGTAAAGGATAGAATTCACGATGTCTGGTCCCCAGGCCGAAATCGTTGAACTGGGTTGCCAGGAGAGCTTTGATATTCTCCGGTTCAATGGTTGACAACATCCATTTACCCAGAGCCTTCTGGGTATAAGTGTTTCCGAACCGCCCATACTGTCCGGCAAGATATTCAACCCATCGTTTGTGCCTAACTTCGTTGAGTAACCTTACAAACGATCGGATTCCAAGGATGCCTGATGGCCCTTGAGCGGCAGGTTGACATCCAAGAGATTGGGCTCGCTTGCGCTGCTGATAAAGTCGCTGGAGGTACTGCAGAACTAGGAAGGTAATGCACAGGGCACCAAACAGCGGAGCAATTTGGGCCAGCATGATGGTTGACGGAGTCTCAGTTTTTTTAAGTAGGGCAATGTATGTACCACTAAGTGATGTGAATTGGACACGAATGAGAACCTAGGAATAGTGCCCGGGCGGGTAAGAGCAAGGTACTTATACATCGATTGACTGAAAGCACATGTGTATGGGTGACTTCAAACATTGAATACTATGTACAGAGAAAGTTCATTGCGACCGAATACCGAGCACGAGGAAGTACTTCGTATCGAGAGAGACATAATCCAGGCACATGATTTGTTGGGCCATCGCAAGCATCTCCCAAAGAGGTTAGCCTTAAATCGCAAGATCGGCCCTCGGAGGTGGGAGACTTGAACTTCATCCACTCCACATCTTCTACCTTTCTCTTGCCCCCCACATTACCGCCCCCTTTGCTAACTCCGCTTGCGTCACATTCACCTTGGAAGCCTTGGGGCTTGAAGGCTTGAAGCATGGTAGCCATTTTGTCAATGCTTCCTTGAACAGGTCGCGAGCCGCCTTTCCTTCCGTGGATAAGCCTTGAAAATCATAGCAATGTTCAGAATTTTTGAGAAGGTATCCGAACACTTTGTCCTCGCTCGTTTCGCCACAGTTCGGGATCTTAGTAGATAACGTGATTCCATCGGGTGCAACCCCAGGCGCGATATCTTCAGTTGTCAGCATAGACAACGTTCTCCATGGATCAAACTCTCCGCCAGTGAAGAAAGTATTAGATGGTCGGATATTCCAGCCTCCGTACTCTTTGTTCAGGGCTTCCGTCTGTGGTCGTGACGGTAGCATGCCGTTTGCGACCGCCAGTGCGAATTGGTTATTGCATACTTCCTGCTGATACTCCAGGGTCTGGTAGCGGGAGAGCAGTGAATGAGGGCCAAAATTGTTGCTTTGATAGAATCCCCACTCGGTGCAATACTGCCAACTCCAGCTGATAGAATCAGGGTCATAATATGCTATGTCCAGCTTACAAGACGGCTTAGCAGGATCACTAAGTCCTCTGCAATTGGTCTCCAAAATATTATTGACCAATGGCGTGAACGCTGGCCATGCAGCCCAACGTTCGGCCACATACTTGCTTCCACGGACTGGGGCGAAGCCATCAGGACCTGCTGCTTCCTGCGTTGTAGGATCCACTTCCAGATGCTGGCAGAGTTCGCGCAGAGTTCCTTCTGGACCGTCAAGGCCATAGTTCTGGAAATACGTATAGATAGTCACCAAAGCTGCTGTGAAGCCTTCGTTGCTGTTCTGCTCAGCTCCGGTGCCAAAAAATAGCTTTTTGATAGCAGCAGCAGTGTGATTGTTTGATAGTTGCTGGTCTATATAACCTAGAGCTGCATGGATATCCTTGGCACAGTTTTCAAAACCATGTCCGACCAAACCACGGTAGACTTGGTCATAGTACATGCTCATATTCAGCTGTGCTTGGACCGGAGCAGAGGAAGAATAAGCTGCAAAGATAACGTCTGGGTACTCCTTACGGGCAAACGCAGCACGAATTCCAGCATATGAACCTCCGACAAGGACCCAGGGCGTAGAGCTGGGGCTGAGATCAAGGTCGGCGAACTTTGAGCGGCTGAAGTTTTGCGCAAAATACGGGATATCCTCAAGAGCTTGCTTGGTCGTAAGGTATTTAAAGTGCTCAGGCGGTGTATCCCTGCTAATTGGAAATGGAGTAGAGTTTCCGTAATATCTACATGCCGTTAGCTGCCTGGGCAACTTATAGTTATTCAGAAAAGAACAAACCTATGTTCCCATATAATACCCATCGCGTGAGTGTCCTCGAGGATTTTCCTGAAAAATGACGAATTCGACGTCAAGTGATTTTTGGCAATACGCTCTGCGTTTGTTTCTCCGGCATCGTACATGATGATCGGACGCCCAGCCTCGTAGTAGTCATCATTCACCCAGAATCGATTTTGGTACGTACCAACATCCGTATCATTATGGTCGATAGGAATCTAAAAACGTGGTTAACTATGGATCCAAAAGAGCCATGAGAAAGGCAAGCGTAAACACACCGTGATGTATTCTGTGGTGACCGTCTCATCTTGAGTATTGGTCTTGGCGAGCACTGAATGTATAGTATTTTTGTTGGAAAGTGACCTGGGGTCCAAGTTCAACTCTGCAGCCAACTGAAGCTCTCGCTTATACCTAGACCCTCCAAGCATCCCCAAGCCCACAGCAGGGCCAGCCAGAAAACCAAGGCTGGGTACTAATATTAGAAAAAGATCGAAACGCATATTGGTCTGAAGAGACAGAGACTTTTCATGCTCGCACGCGCACAAAATGTGAAATGAACAAAGGGTATCTCGAGGAGTAAGGTTACAGATAACTTACCAGCAGAGAAAAGAGGTAGTACATGTGTCTATTATATGTATGCGCAATGATTGATAGATACTCTTGCCGGACGGCTGCGTCAACGAGAACACCCCAGTCTTGGCCGGGTCAGCCAATCCAATGTAAGTTCCTCATGACGTATCAGTAAAGGCCTTCCAGGACTACATTGTCTGCAGTAGGCTCATATAAAGTGAACGAATATGTCTGAGTACGTTGGACAACATGTTACCTAACGCGGAAATGGGAGTGCTTGGAAGTATCCAGATTGGATGGCTTCGGACATCGGCCCGGGCGGTGGACAGACGCCACGCCTATAATATCGGTGTTTGTTGTACACATGGCGCCAAGAGCCCTGTCGATCGTTAACTATTAGGGAATGTCATGAATGTCCCAACCACCAAATAAGATCGGAACTTGATTGAAAACGGTGACTGTCTTTATATAGCTGAACTGAATCACATTTAAGTTTAGCAACCAGTCAGACGGCCGTAATGCAGCCACCAAATTGCCGTGAACATTGAATGCCTGATGGCTTCAATCTTGAAGGCTTCGTACCTATGGTCTTGGAGCAGTAGTAGTCTGGGTAAAACACATATCGTCAAGTGGTTCAGCTAGGAGGGCAATATGTTTGATCGAACAGCTCGTTTCATAGACCTCCACATATATTTCCTTCGAGGAGATAATTTCGATGGATTTATTCACTGAACTGTTATGTACCAACGGCTGCGGCTGTAATATGCTAGACAGGAACAAAAGAACTATCCCAGCTCATCCAGATGCCACTGTACGGTGTTTCGAGCCAAGCAGCAGTGGGTGCCTAGTTTTTACAATGCCCATGAATTGAGGGCTGTACAATGCCGACAACCCACAATTTTATGTGTGTGAGTGTTTGGACCTTCAAAGACAGTCAGCCGCCACATGTAACAGATGGAGTCTGAATGCTGACACTACCCATGCACCTAGGAAGAGTGTACACACCATGATTTCTATTGAAGACCGCATTTTACATATGGTCTATTTCTGTTGCTATAGCCTTAGGCATTTTTTTTTTTTTTTGCAGCCCACCGGCTAAAACCATGGCAACTTATGGATATTTGTTACACAGAAGGGGACAAACAGTAAGCATGCATATTCCGTATATGATGGGTGCATAGGAGTTTACTGCACGATCACATCTTTTCTAGCACGCGAGTTAGTGTCCACCCGTTGAATCTTTGATACGCTTTTCCAGACCAGCGTCGAAGACAAGAAATATTGCTTGACTTGGAAGTGATGCACTCAATGTGAAAACGCATTATGTCAATGGCAGAAGACCCACCTTCAGAAGTTCCTTTTTAATACGCAATAATCCTCAGAGTTAACCTTGTACAACCACGGGTTTAGATACTCCTAAGGTCGACGCCCTAGTATAGACCTCGAGCGGTGCTTCGGCTCAGCTCACAGATCGAAACCATTCCTGAGGAGCATAAACAGCTCTTACTGTCTTCACGAGACCGACCTGAGGATGGCAATGTGGCAAGCGCCATGAAGTTGCTCGGCACCGCTGAGGCTGAAGTGGGGTGGGACTGGGGTGGTACGAGGAAGCATCCAAAAGTGCAATGGACATTTCAATTATGATGAAGGCGACCCGTGATCATGTTCAGGTGACAATTCCTGTTTGATAGCACAGCAACTGCCACAACATGGAAATCCTTGAGACGTAAACGCCAGTCGTGAACTACTAGTAAGCCATAGTTCGGCTCTCTTTAGCGATCATGGCGTGTAAAAGGTTCTTTAGTGTGCAACCACAAGCCAACTTTTAGCGGAATGCATTTGATTGGCAGTGAATTGCCATTTTAGGATATGACCTTGTCTTATGATTGAACATCAATGGCCAAACGTATCTCAGGTTCAAGACCGCCTCAACCTACGCATTGGCGTAGAGACATCGACAGCAGCCATGCATCAAAGAAAAGGGGTAAGCAACGCATCGCAGAATATTGCCAAAAGCAGGATATACACCTAGCCTCCAGCTTTGTCAATGTCTTGTTTGGAAACCGGTCCAGATTTCTTGGTGACAAGCCGTCTCCCATTGGCTGTCTCACTGCAGAGGGGATCCATGTGGAAGAGCTGAAGAATCCTAATGATACACTTTGGCTTCCATTTCCGGAGAAGCATATATTTTAGGGTCATGCCAAGGGGAAGTTCAATATAAAGCTTTTCGGCACATTTTCGCACAAGAACGGCCGGATCACACCATTAAGTATCCTGATTGATGGAGATAGCATATGGCCCCACTGCACTAGCATGGGACTGATGCACCAGTGTCCCAAATCCGCCGAGTCTGAAATCGTGACTCCGCATCGCTTCACAACGAAGTCCACCACTGAAGAACAGGAATATGGCCGTTTGTCCGGCGGGATTTACTCTGCTAAACGAACTGACCTGCGATCGTCACATAACTTCGGGTGCTCGCTATAAATACATCCGAAGTCATTTTTCGCAAAGCGACCGGCCAACACCAAAGCGCTTTCCTTGATGACCACAGAAGAGTTCCCATGTTCAGAATAAAGACGAAACACCTATGCGGAGTCCAGTGGATGATATGCTCGCCTAGGTGATGCAGGGGTTCTTGGCCATGGGTTGGTCCCATAAATATCCAACGGTACTTGGAGGATTTCCTAACAATCCGTAACTACCGGTTTCAAAAAGGGAAACTTCGTCAGCGATCATCTTAGCGACGGCCAGTGCTCCGGTATTCCCAGTACGTTCGTCGAGTCGTGCGCGCTACACCTGGGTTCTTAATAAACCATGGCTTTCGAGATTGGTGGAACTAAACTGGCCCATCTCTTCGAATAATTAATCAGGGGTTCTGTTGCTCGTAGTTTGTCTTCATGCCCCTCTCGTGGTCTGGGCACTGGGGACTACTAGTAGAAGTCATGTTGGGAGCGAATATAAAGGGACAATGGCCGACAACATGACGAAGATCCAGGAAGAAAATACTTGTACAACTCTGCAGAGGATTGACAGACAGCATGTTGTCGAGAACCCTTCTTTTCTCGTCCTCTATTCTTTGGGCCAGAGTCGCCAATGCGGCCTTTGGAATTACCACCTCTGACGACTCCTACGTCATTGACGCTGGGTCGCAAAACCCTCTCAAATTTACAGTTTCCCGTTCGAGCTGCGATATCACCTCTATCAATTACTATGGCTCGGAACTTCAGTACTCCGGCAAGGGCAGCCACATCAATTCCGGCCTTGGAAGTGCAGATGTTTCTGCGGTAGAAGATGGTGAGCTAAGAATTTAAGACAAGCTATGTTGACCGTGTATATACTGATATCTTATCTGTAAAGGGGACTACATCAAGGTTACCTGCGACACCGATACCTTGACACACTATTTCGTTGTCCACAATGGCGACCCGATCATTCACATGGCGACATACACTACAGAGGGTTAGTTTTACGTCCCGGAGCCAAGAAAGAAGTTCCTGACGTTTATCCTAATCAAATCCAGAGCCCTCCGTTGGTGAGCTGCGGTTCATTGCACGCCTTAACTCGGAGCTCCTACCGAACGAGGAACCGTTCGGCGATGTATCCACCACTGCGGGCGGCTCGGTGGTCGAAGGCTCGGATGTGGTAAGTACAAAAATGACACAAGGACATGAAGGTAGCTGACGAAGACTATAGTTTCTTGTAGACGGGGAGACCCGTAGCAAGTTCTACTCCAGCCAGCGCTTCATCGATGACCAGAGACATTGTAAGGCACATACTTGCTGACTGTAACGCATGGCTAACCTGCTTCTAGGTATCGCCGGAGGTGCCCACCGTGTTTGCATGATCCTCAACCAATACGAGACTTCCTCTGGTGGTCCTTTCTTCCGGTCAGTACAATATTTGCGACGTAACATGCTAGCATACTAATCTTACTAGTGATATCAACTCCAACAGCGGCGGTGACTACAACTCCCTCTACTGGTATATGGTACGTTTGATAGACCATTATGTTTTTCAGTTGTTTTGTTAACGAAGGCAGAACTCGGGCCACGTCCAAACAGAGGACAGACGTCAGGGTCTTCATGGGCCATACTCGATGTACTTCAGCCGCAGTGGAACACCCAGCACCGATATTGACACATCCTTCTTCGCGAACCTGGACATCAAGGGCTACGTCGCTGCCGACGGTCGCGGAACTGTATCCGGAACTGCATCTGGAGCCGACTCCAGCTTCAAATGGGTCGTTCACTGGTACGATACCCCGTGCAATTATAGCATCTGATTTGTCTTAATAATAAATACAGGTACAACGCCGATGCCCAGTACTGGACATACGCCTCTTCAGATGGTAGCTTCACTTCCCCGGCCATGAAGCCAGGCGATTACACCATGGTCTACTACCAGGGCGAATACAAGGTAGCCGAGACCTCTGTTTCTGTTACTGCAGGATCATCAACAAGCAAAGACATCTCCGGATCCGTGGAAACAGGCGAAACCATCTTCAAGATCGGTGACTGGGATGGAACGTACGTACCCTATTTTCCCCCGTAATACCCAGTCACATATGGATGTAACTGACCTATCACCCCTAGACCAACCGGCTTCCGCAACGCTGAGAACCAACTGCGGATGCACCCCTCGGACTCGCGCATGTCATCCTGGGGTCCCCTTACCTACACCGTAGGAAGCTCTGAGCCCACTGACTTCCCAATGGCTGCCTTCAAGGGTGTCAACGATCCCGTCACAATCAAATTCACAGCCACTTCCTCCCAGACTGGCGCCGCTACCCTGCGTATCGGAACGACCCTCTCGTTCGCAGGTGGTCGTCCTCAAGCTACTGTAAGAAACCCCGTTCTAAAACCGACACACATCCATATAGACCGATAAGCAAAACAAACTAATAAAAACCAGATCAACGACTACGAAGGTTCGGCCCCCTCTGCACCCACAAACCTCAACTCCCGCGGCGTTACTCGCGGAGCCTACCGTGGGTTAGGCGAGGTATACGACCTGAGCGTTCCATCTGGAACAATCGTCGAAGGAGAGAACACTGTGCGCGCCCCTCAATTCCCTTCCCGCATCCCTCAAAAGTTCATAATTAACACAATCATCAGATCACAATCAGTATCATCTCCGGAAGCTCTGGTGATGAGTTCCTTGCTCCTAACGTCGTAAGTGTTTACTTGCTTTCTTTGAGTTACTGTCTTGGCTATGGATTGGTTGGCTAATGACTTGCTTGCTCTAGATTTTTGACTGTATTGAGCTGTTCCAGTAAGGATGTGATTGGTGCATCAGGTGGTCTTGTACATATTCGTATTGATTGAAGCTGGCTATGGAATAGTCAGCGTTTTGTCCATAGTGAAGTAATTCACGGGTCTACCCTTCGTTGATTGGACTATCTTTGGCATTGAATTGGGCATGGTAAAACAGGATTGATAAAAGGACACCCCATCTGACTATAGCAACTGGTTCCTACATCCCACCTTCCAAGCCTGCCCTCCGAAATAGAAAGAAACTAGAATGACTCGAGTATATACAAACGCCCTGAATGGCTACAAAAGCGCATATCAATAATCATCACAATACTCACTTATCCCCGTATTCATCTCCTATCAAAGTAAGACATGTCTTCCACAACAATTGCCTACACCAAACACAATCATACCATAACCACATAGATAACCAGCCATTGCAACATAAGCAAACACCTAGTCAGTTATCATCAAAGATCATCTATCCCCACAGCATACCCCTAAACCAATCGAAACCCTAAAGTCCACCCCCGATCCGTCAATCAGGATCCCAAACACTAATCCCAAGATCACGAAACGCTAATAACTCGGGACAATATTTTGGGAAAGTAACCTGCAAGTCCCACCGTGGGAGGTGGGAACATTCATTGAAGAACGGTGCAACAAGGGCTTAACCTTGCAGTGAATTAATGTGAGGTGCTAGACATTGGACTATGGGAGATAGACCCTCTCAGGCTTTTTTGGGTAGTAAATTTGCAGTGAGGCTAGCTTGGAAATCAAAGTTTCGTTGTATTCTGATATATTTTTTTTCTTTTTATCATCATTGTCTTTTGACTTGGGATTTGCAGCTACACGAGTCTTCCTTGCCATTTGAGACGTAGATTACCTAGAAGATATATCTGATTGCATCAATTTGCACGATGTTTTCCATGGCTATGTGTCCTTTGGCTACTAGTATATGGTATAGTAATAAGGCGTTGAAATGGTAGCTTGCTCAAGAAGGTTATAGGTGGGCATTTAGCTGTAAATAGCCTCGACGTGGCTTTTTCAGTATGATCATTTTCAAAGGCCTTCACACCTTTCTTATAAATTTGTATCTTCAAGTTGTCGTTGATATTATAAAGACAAATTGTTCTCTATGATTATCAAGTAAAATACGAGATGGCCAAAAGCCATCTAAAAAGATAAAGAGTCTATCTATATCTTACAACCTCAGCCTCCTAAAAGCAACAGCAGCACCAACACCCACAACACCGGCGCTCAAAACCCAAGCCCACCAACCAGACCGAGTCCCATGCTCCACAGCGTCCTCCCCATGCACCAGCTTTCCTCCAACCCAGACACCCTTGACATTACGATCATTACCACTCCACACCCACTTGTGGATCTTCTCTTCCCAGGTCTCCCATCCAAAGACATCAACCTGGCTTCCACCACTGCTATACCGAGTCGCAGGCAAGAACCGCCCCAAATGAATCAGCTGCGCATCGAATAGCATGCCGTCGTCAAATCCACCGATATCATTCTCCATATTGACCGCCGCGGCGCCGCCGCGTGTCGCGAGGTATAACGCCTCTTCAACGCTTAGGACGAGTTTCTTCCCTTCATCGCCTTCGCTGGCCGGTTCCACATGTCGAAGTAAGCGGGATACGAGACAGGCTTGCCGGACGGCTTCCAAGATACTGGGACTATACCCGCCACTAACATCCGTGCCGAGACCGACAGTGATGCCCTTGTCGAGGAGCTTGCGAACGGGACAGATGCCGGATCCCAGGGCGGAGTTTGACGCGGGACAGTGAGAGACCTTGGCGCCTCGATCGTGGATAAGATCTTGCTCGTCGGGCGATAGATGGACGCCGTGGGCGAGGATAGTTCGTGGTGTGAGAAGGCCATATGTGTCGTACACGTCGGCATAGCTCTTGGCACTTGGGAATTGGCAGTGGACGTCGTGGATTTCTCGTTTGTTCTCGGAGATGTGCGTCTGAATGTGCAGTGGGGGCTCATAGGAAGCGGCTAAGTCGGCTAGGCCACGCATTGCTTTCGGGGTGCATGTTAGCGCAAAGCGCGGGGTGATGATTGGCTTTATCATGGTTCCTTGCGGATCAATGGACTGAATGTACGAGATGACTTCCTTGTTTAATTCGACGGATTCTTCAGTTGAGGGGTCAATATAGTAGGGCTCAGAGAAGTCCGGATTGTCCATGCAGACGCGGCCGATGAGGGCTCGCTGGCCACGTTTTTGGCAGAGCGTTGCCAGCAGGTTCGTAGCCGAGACGTGAATGGTAGCGAAGTAGGAGGCGAAGGTTGTGCCGTTAGCTAGAGTGCGCGAGACGACCTGATTGTAGACCCTGAATGCCCTGGGGGACGGGATGTTGGGAAGGGAGCTCCCGAATGAAGCCTCCATCGGGAAGGTATACTGCTTTAGCCAGTCAAGGAGGGTAGTAGAACCGAAAAGTCCATTGTTGGGGTACTGGGGTGCGTGGATGTGAGTGTCTAAATCTGTCAGTATCTGTATACATGAATCTATGACTACGCGCCTTTTCATACGAGGCAGAGAATCGAGGCACCACTTACCAATGAACCCAGGAAAGAAGAATTCATTATATTCTTCCCTCGCCCGGACGATCTTTACTCTCGTCCCAGATTTATATCGAGGAGCATCCTCAGGGATCCAGCTCTTTTCTTTCAATAGGTCGCGCAGATCACTCTCAGTGATGACAGTCCAGTCGGTACCTTTAATTCGACCATCGGCGGCGGAAACCCATAAAGCCCCCTGTTGGATAGCGAGGGTCTTTGACGTGGATCGAGGAAGATGTACAAATATACCGACGAAGACAATGTATGCGGGGGCCATGATGGTGTTTCGTGATTCTCTCGATTCTCGACAATATAAGTTGAGGTTACGTTGCAATGGGGCCAAGTAGCACCAGCTCAGCTCGTACGGGTCAATATGAGACCGGTCGAAAATAAGGGATAGAAGTAGCAGGATACGCTATGCGTGTAGAACAATTGAAATTGCCCAAACTGCCACTCCATAGGTTAGCATGGATTCCTCAAATATGAATAGAATGTCATGAATTCACCTTGAGTACCGATGTGTATGCAAAGGAAAACTACTGCGCTACACCTGTCATCGACGGAAGGATGACCGCTGGAACCTTATCTTATCTACCTGACAGAGCACTAATGGACTGTACCCCCAAAGATGATGTTGTGTACTTTTCAACGCTCGAGGGAGAGACAGGCTTCTTATAAGGTCGAGACTTCATCCAAGAAGAGAGATGTCATCATTCTTGAAGATTGAGCTCCTTCCAACTCCACACGGACCACAACCGCATCTCAGATTGGACGTGACCTCGGGTCACGGCCGGTTCCGATGCCAAGAGTGGTTTAGTGTAGAGGAGATAAGATAGTAAGCCACAGGCACAGCAGAAGATCCGGAGGGATTCTGACCACTCAGGGGCTGAGAAAAAGCAATCTTTTACTTAAGAGCTGACACGAAGTCCTCACGTGCCATCAGTCCCCCTCTTGGGGGTGACTTCCTAATCAAGTAATCGCTGACTACTTCCAGGTTTGAACTTTGGACTGATCAGCGCAAGCTAAGATTAGAATCAAGTTACTCAGGTAGTATGCACGAAGAGCTGAACATCAACCGCTAGTATGGCGGCAAGTATCATTCACTTTGCTAAGAAGAGTCTTTTTGTACAACTCAAATGTGAGATAGTAACCAGAACGCCGCCGAATGTCTATCATGAATGTTGAATCTTGGCGTCGTGTCACCATCATTATGCCAACCCAAAACTCAAGCAACTAAACATGTGTTGAAGATATGTATCTCGCAGGTGATAATAACGAACAATCAAACATGGGTATCATATATCTACTCAGAATCCTCCACAGGACCGCAAGTGCAGAACAGGTTTTGGTCACCGTAAGCTGTAAAAGTTTAAGTTAGTTTTTGCTCCTGATCAAATAAGATAAGCAAATTAGAGGAAACTTACCATCATCCACACGAGTCACAGAAGGCCAGAACTTCTTCTCCACAAGGTACGGCAAGGGGTAGGCGGCCGTCTCCCGTGTGTACGGGCGGTTCCACTCGTTGGACAAAAGATCACGCTGAGTGTGAGGGGACATCTTCAGCACATTGCCCTCACGTGGTTGCGTGCCGCTCTCCACCTCAGCAATCTCCTGCCGAATGGAGATCAGAGCATCGCAGAAGCGATCCAGCTCTGCCTTGCTCTCCGACTCGGTGGGTTCGATCATGAGGGTGTTGGACACGGGCCAGGACATGGTTGGGGCGTGGAAGCCGTAATCCTGGAGACGTTTGGCAATATCGATGGCCTCAACGCCGCTAGTTTCCTTGAACTTGCGGACATCAAGGATGAACTCGTGGGCACAGCGACCGTTCTCGTTGGTGTACAGGATCGGGTAGTGTGGCTTCAGCCGAGAGAGAATGTAATTGGCGTTAAGCAGGGTGATCTTTGTCGCGTGGGTAAGACCCTTGGCACCCATCATATTGATGTAGTTGAAGGTGATGGGCAGGATGCTGGCGCTACCCCAGGGAGCAGCGCTGATCGGGGGCGAGGAAGATTCCGTACGCTTAGACTGAAGGTATTCGCTGGCCGGGTGAGACGGCAGGAATGGGCGCAGGTGCTCTGCAACACCGATAGGACCAACACCAGGACCACCGCCACCGTGAGGGATACAGAAGGTCTTGTGCAGGTTGAGATGGCAGACATCGGCACCGATCTCGCCAGGGGAGCAGAGACCAATCTGGGCGTTCATGTTGGCACCATCCATGTAGACTTGTCCACCATGCTGGTGCACGATCTCGCAGGCCTCCTTGACACCAGGCTCGTACACACCGAAAGTGCTAGGATAGGTGATCATAACAGCGGCCAGCTCATCCTTGTGCTTCTCACACTTGGCCTTGAGATCATCAAGGTCCAAGTTGCTAGTCTTCGTGTCACACTTAATGGTAACAACCTTCATGCCAGCCATGGCGGCACTGGCTGGGTTTGTTCCATGAGCAGACACGGGAATCAGACAGATGTTGCGCTTAGACTGGCCGTTAGCCTCCAGATACTTCTTGATGACACGCAGACCAGCGAATTCACCCTGGGCACCAGAGTTAGGCTGGACAGTGACTTCAGCCATACCAGTGATGTCGGCGAGTTGCTGTTCCAGATCATCAATCATCTGGGTGTAACCCTTGGCGACATCTGCAGGCAAGAAGGGGTGCATCTGAGAGAACTCAGGCCAGGAGATCGGGATCATCTCGGTTGTTGCGTTGAGCTTCATAGTGCAAGAGCCCAGAGGGATCATAGAGTGAGCCAGAGACAGGTCCTTGGACTCCAGATGACGGATGTACCGGAGCATTTCAGTCTCCGAATGGTGGGTGTTGAATACAGGGTGAGTCAGATATTCTGAGGTCCGCTCAAGGCTGGCTGGAAGAGGAGAGATACCAAGCTCCCCATCAATGGACACTTCACCCTTGGAAGCATGAGTAGCAAACACCTGCAAAAGGGACTTGACCTCTTCGCGCCCACTCGTCTCATCCAGGGAGATACCGACCTTGGTAGAGTTTACGCGGCGGAGGAAGATAGACTGTTCCCGGGCAGCTGCAACAATGGCGTCCGCCTCTTCGCTGGTAGATAGCTCTACAGTAACGGTGTCGAAGATCGCACCGCCATCGGCGACGTTGGTCTTAATCGGAACGTTGTAGCCCAGAGCAGCAAGCTTCGCCTGCAAGGTCGAAGTCATGGACATGATGCGTTGAGCGATGGATTTCAGGCCAGTCGGGCCGTGGTAAACAGCATACATGGCGCTCATGTTGGCGAGAAGGGCCTGGGCAGTGCAGATGTTGCTAGTGGCTTTCTCACGGCGGATATGCTGCTCTCGGGTCTGCAGAGCCAATCTCAAAGCACGGTTCCCGAGACGATCTTTGGAGACACCCACAACACGACCAGGAACCTTACGCTTGTACTTGTCTACACAAGCGAAGAACGCTGCATGCGGACCACCGTATCCCATAGGAACACCGAATCTCTGGGCATTACCGAATGCGATATCAGCTCCAAACTCTCCAGGTGCCTTCAAAACGGTCAAAGCCATCAAGTCCGTGGCGACGCTGAAGGTACCGCCAGCGCCGTGAATAGTGTCACTCAAGGCCTGGAAGTCATAGATGCCACCCTCGGTATCCGGATATTGAGCAAGCACACCAATGAGATTGTCGCCTTGTTCCTTCACCAACTTGAAATCATCCGCCAGAACGTCACCGATAACCAGGTTGATACCGAAGCCCTCAGCGCGCGACCGCATCACGGCGATTGTCTGAGGGTGGCAAAGATGGGAAACAACATAAGCCTTACCGGGCTTCTTCTGTTTCGAAGCAGGCATAGTAGCGAAAGACATGGTCATCGCCTCGGCAGCAGCGGTAGCTTCGTCAAGGACGGATGCATTGGCGAATGGCAAGCCCGTCAAGTCGGCAGTCAATGTTTGGAAGTTCAGGAGTGACTCCAGACGACCCTGGCTGATCTCAGGCTGGTAGGGGGTGTAGCTGGTGTACCATGCGGGGTTCTCCAAGACGTTGCGAAGGACCACAGGAGGCACAATGGTACCGTAATAACCAGTTCCGATGTAAGTCTTGCCAGAAACATCAATTTGCTTCCGGTAAACATCCAAGAGCTTCAGCATATCAGTCTCTCCGAGACCACCGCCCACATTGTCCCGGTACAGATTCGTTTTGGCGTGAGGATCGGTAACCTTCAAGTCCTTCTTGGACAGAATGTCTGCGGGAAGCACCTGTTTTACGAATTCGTCGAGAGACGCCACTGGGGGGTCAAGAGTAGCCAACATCTCCTTGGCGGCGTCTGGAGAAGGACCGATATGACGTCTGGGAAAGGTGTCGAGGGGCTGGAAGAGGTCGCGGGGGTGAGGGTCGCCATGGTCAGCTACTGAGCTTGTGTAAACCGGTCGCCGCGACGGCTGCTGTGTAGCTGTGTGCAGGGCGCGATGGGTGGCGCGGAAGGGAGAGGATGGAGAAGCTCTGCGGAATGCAATGGGGGAAGGGGCAGAGCGCAAGCGAGTCCGAAGAGCAAGCTGGCGAGTGCCACGGAGGGCGCACCAGGATGCAGCCATGGTGATAGTTTGAGAGGCCAACGGACTGCGGTGTTCAATGGTTTGGCTAAGCCAAGGGATAGAAGTATGTACTTGATCTAGTAAATCCCCGGCGATAGCTCAACACATGAGATAGTAAGGTAGTTGAATAGAGGAGGGGAGAGAAATACAATTGAAATGAACAGGAAGACAAGATTTAAAAAAGAAAAGAATGAAAAAAGGCTCTAGGGAAAAACTTATCGAGCAAAGTCATACAATCTTTGGATTCCTTCGGCCGGCAGGAAAACCGCGGGCGATGCGGACAATCACGGGAAACTGTCGATAACCCGATAACGCTGCCTCCCGAGCCAATGATAATCCGGCAATGCTTTATGGTCCCTTGCGAAGTTGCCCCGCAAGCACGCCAGTAAACCGCGCTTTGCTTCTCCACGACTGATAAGAGATTATTTTCCCGCGGGAAAGTCTTAGCTTATGATCTTGGTCAAGACGCGGGGTCGGAGATTTCTGTATTTCTTCCTGTTGAATTTATCTACCTCGAATGGCGATATTATGCTATACTTTAATTATCATGGATCGAAATCAAATGCGCTCGGTTGAACTGGATTTGTCAATGCATCATCGATAGAGCTTTGGTCGCTAATCTGGGCAGCTCTCGATTTTCCCGAAGATTCATACAGACCAGGACCTCCACAGGTTCTTTCCGATCCGACTTTTTGGTCCAAGCTCGGGAAGCTCACCCGGGCTAGTTATTTATACATGCTATGACTAACGAGTACTGTACAGCATGTCGACGGTCTGGAACCGCCCCTCTCGATATTTTGTGTTATGCGGGGTTTTGCAGCCATTTATTTTGTGCGACAGATTCTATCCCTTGAGACACTAAACATAGAACAAAGCATATTGTCGATATTGGAACACAACATCGCTCATTGCCTCCGTATATTTATCACCAGCTAAATATACTACTCGTTGAGATATGTACAGAAATAACAAAGGGGGTTACCGGAAGAGAAAAGAGAAAACCATTATTGTGTGCTAGTTTTATATCGTGTACCGAAACTCTGGAGACCCCTCGATAACGCGCTCCCCACGGTCCGCTTCTCTGTTCGACCGGCGGAACCACAAGCTCAGAGCGGCCACAATGACTAAAATGAGGATATTGCATCTGCAGGCCGCTTAGTAACACGATGCAGTGAAAGCTTGACTTGATAAAAGACCAGTACTTACGCAATAGTCGTCCACATGCCCGGTCGGTATCCAGGAGCATCTTGGGACCTAAAGACCAAACTACTCACAATTCCCCCGATGCCACCAAATCCCACCAATGTAGCACTCGAAAATGCACGGGTCCATTGACCACGGACATTGTTCGCTTGATATGCCATACAAGCTGGGATGTTTGAGTTGGCGCCGGCCACGGCGAAGAATACGCCCACGTACCGCGCAGCATTGCCTTTCGCAAAGCCCATAATGGGAAGTCCAATGATACAGAGTAAAGCATTGAAGATGACAATTGCTCCTCGTAGGCGATATTTGTCACCAACCCAGGCGGATGCGTACATTACGATCCCGGCGAACGCAAAGGGTGGCGCAATCAAACATTGTGCAGCAGCGGTACTAAACCCCATACCTTGTTCAAGAATGATCGGGAGGAAATATGCGATAGCATACGTGACGGTTGTAGTGCAGCTGTTGCATGTCAGAGGATCGCTGAGAGAACAGAATGCATTCGGCGCGCCTTACAAGAATATCATTGCAAAACCCCAGATCTTCAAGTCGAGGGCAGGTGACAGGAAGCGCTTTAGAGAGAAGGGCTCCTGGTCTCCGTCGGAACGGTCCCGGTTGATACGGCGGACGATGAACGCGCATTCTTTCTCACTAAGAAATCTCCAAGACTTGTGTGCTTTATCAGGGAAGTCAACCAAAAAGGTGATAGTCAAGAGGCCAATCACCCCTGTGATCTACTGGAATCAGCAACTGAGGGTCGCTCAGGGGGAAAGGGTACATACCACGCCTTCCATGATAAAAATCCATCTCCAGCCTTCCAGATCCTGAAGCCCGCCCATCTGCATCAGCCCAAAGGCCAGAATACCAGACAATGCTGACGCTACGCAACCGATCAAGTAGAACACCGAGAAACGTTTTTGCACGTCAACTAACCCTGTCAGTGCCTGGCAGTAGCTCGTATCGTAGGTTTACACTTACACCGAGTGTACCAGCTAGACAAGAGATATACACAACCGGGGAAGTAGCCTATATCGAAGCAGATTAGTCCTATGTTACCCGGGATTCCATAGCCACGATCACCAGGCGACAGATCATCGAACATGGGAAAATTACCTGCTTCAAGCAAGCCCAGCAGTGCACGGGTCGCCACCATATGCTTCCAACTCTTCGCAAACCCCATGCCCTTAAAAAAAAGTTATCAGTAGATTGTTCGGTGGCAGTCATCCACACATCAACGCGCTTAACGACTTACAACTAGAATTGCTCCCCAAAGAATGACAATGGTTCCCAAGAAGTAGGTAGGACCTATCTTCCGTGTTATAACCGTCATAGGTGGCTGGAAGATCACGTAGGGAACGAAGAAGATGAGAACCATCACGGACTATTGATGTTAGCTACAGACTCAAAATGTACGATGGGGATCTTGAGACACACATATCGGGTTCCAATTGTCAGACCCAGGTCTTTGGTCATTCTATGGGCGATCAACCGATGAATCATCCATTTGTGGAGATGCCCTACTGCACCAGGGAAACTTACCCCGCGACAGCAGCCATGCTCAGATTTGTCCTGTCCATGAGGGACACACAGTATGCTAAACCCGTGATGGTGACAAGGCGTCTATCCACGCGGTGGATAATCTTACGCTGTTCTGCGTATGTGTATTCTTCATCGTAGTCAACATCATTCAGGGCAGGTTGGTTGATATCTTCAATCCTGGTGTCTGCACCGGGATCTTTCTCGCTGCTTGGATATGACATGATTGAATGATTATTCGCTCCTCAAGTGCGTTCTAGGAGCAAAGGAGGAAGAGTGGTGGTGGGGTGTCGAGAGGAAGAGGGGCATCAGGGACAACCTCCTAGATGTAGGATTATATAGAGGCGGTCTGCTGTGTTAGTCTCATATACACTATTCACTTAAACTTTTGGACACAATTGCCTCTTCAGTGTATAACCCGTTAGTCGCACAACGTATGACTATGAAGACCCATTGAAGAACGCGCTATAGACGCCATCGTTCGTGCAACCAGCCCGGAGGCAACATGTAACCAGGATAGCCGACTTGAAATCCTCATATTACCTCGGCCTTGGGAAACTGATCGCTATCTCAATTGGAAGACAGTGACCTCCCCACATTTTCCCCAGCTTTTTGTGTTTGAGAAGGTGGAGTGGAAATGATGCGGGGGTGTCAAGCGATTGACATCAGGACTCCCTTGGCAGCTTGGCAAATGACATCCAGCTGCCCTCATTCGCTCTGGGATCAGACACGTTGCTGGCACATCCGGGGCCGCCGCGCGAGGCAGTCGAGATCTCGGAGACATCCTAAATCATCTTGTTTTCTGAGCCTTGCTCTTTGTTCTCTGGATCGCATGGGTCGTCCCAACACCCAACACTATCGCTCATTCTTCCACTGGGTCATTCACCAAAAAAGCCCGTATAATCCCGTGTGGTTAAGGATTGTGGCTTGGCTCGAGCCAATCCCAGGCCAACGCCCAGATAGGTTCGAGACTGGACTATCTCGGAATTAAGATTCCAAGGTGAGGGTCCCGTATGCGCGGATTAACTCCGCGTCCTGGTCAAAACAAATCTCGGGGAATTTAGACTTCTAGCTTGCGTCTCACGGAAACTCTCGCACGGGTCATAGCTCGTCGGGTTTAGATCATGCTATTTGAACAGGATCAAAGAAATACAGAAGCAGAATAGTTCTCGAGTGTCTTCCTCGTTGTTTTCAGTCATCGTCATAAGCCTTCCAACCTGTCTTAGGATGGTGCGGGTTGATTCGGGGGGAAGCTAATCTGTCTCAGGTGAGCAGCGAGCTGTCGAATAAAAAACACTCGAGGTGGGGCAAATTTCACTTTTATTCTTGTGTACACCGTATTTGCCTCCTTAGGGTTTCGTTAGTGGGTGCTAATAAGGGCCCTAAGAATCTGGACTAAACTCCTAACCTGGCTTCTGCCTTACGAACCTCCACTGTGACACTCGGGTGTCTGGCTGGGACTTCCATCAAGGGAGAACTCGGTATCGGATCCACCAACTTGCTCTGTGTAGTCATGCAAATTTATACATGTTTTACCATAGTAGCTGCAGATTGCAAAGAATAGCCGGTGAAGCCTGGGCGGTGTCCAGTTACCAATGAGCTAAAGACAACCACAATCCTTACTCTCGATGTTAAAACCTGCTGGATAGGTTGTTCTTGCCACATGCATCGTGACAATATGTGTGTGATGTGGTTGTGGCCAGAAAGCACTCACAGCGGGGCAGTAGATGTCAGGTACGTCGTAAGGTTTGATAAGACTAGCTTTTCTAATCCAAGGATACAAATCCTCACTTAATGTGGCATGCAGGGATTCTAACAGGGTTCTGCAACAAAGAGCCTCGGCTAAACCTTGCCATATAATTCGACATATGTCACTAGTATTGGTTCTCTACTAAGTTCGGTTCCAGGTCAGCTATCCCTTGAATTGGGGTTGTTTCACTCCATTAGTTAACTTAATCGACACATTTGAAAGGCGAAATTTATCAGATTCAAGTTCATCTCTGAGCAATGCCTGACAATTGTGCATTCCTAGCTCCAGTCACCTGTCTACCTAGGGATGCTATTAATATAGTCAATGCCATCCGCTCGGTAAGTGTCAGCCTCGATATAACTTCCATCCTTGGGCAGGCGGAACACCAAGTTCGATGCCTCCTGGGAATACTGTGGCCATTGGGGGATATTTGCAACTGCGTATGTTAGGTCTCTACCTATATCCAATTTACCAAGGGTAATACATAAGGCACATACCCTTATGTCCATTGGGGTCTAAATCAGCAACAAATGAAGTCCACATTCGAGCGGCCAGGTTACCAAGCTCAAGCCGAGCGGGATCGTCTCCCAGTGCTGTAATATTTTGGACCGGATTGGCGAACACAAAGGGAATCTAAATTCCTGTCAGTACTATTCGAAAACTTAGTGATTAATGGTAACCCTAGCACTCACCTCTGCGAAGTGACCCACTCCAATAGTGCTGGATGTATTCAAAGCGGGTACATCCCATCTATAGGAGTAAACCTCGCTTTTATATTTAGCCATATTCTGTGCAAGGAGGCGTCTCGGTGCGACCATGGTAAGGTCGCCTGCCATTGACTCATATCGCTTATACATGAGTCCCAGATCTGGCCATGTGGTGTTTCCCCATCCGTATGGGCACCCCAGGGCAGGGTCATTTGGATAGAACGTAAGCAAATTGGTGGCTTGCTCACGATTGAGAACCCAGCGTTTTGATGCTACTCTTGTCAGTAAGTATCTTAGCTGGAGATTGCTAGCACTCACATATAAGCTGCTCAACGCACTCTTCGTCCGTATTTGTCCCTGTCGTACCGAAACTAGTTCCCTCGTCTGTGTTTGTTCCCAGAAGGATGGGCACCTTGGCCATTTTTCCTTGCGAAATGCTTATCTGAGGATACTCCTTGACGAATGTACCATCGACCGCTGCGAACCATTCTAGTCCTTCATATGCCGCATCGTATAATGTTTCGTAAGATACATCCCGTAAGCATTGAAGTGTGTCTGACGAAGACGAGCAGCTTTACCTCGTTAGCTGGGTGTCGACAAATGTTAAAGACAAACATACCCCGTTTTATTCACGATGCGATCGTACATTGGCTGGTACCAGTCTGTCCCATTCCAGGGTGGCCCGTTGGCATTTCCAGACTCCATGATTGCTATTGAATCAGAAAATCGGCCCAACACAGAAAATGGGATGAAGCTCACCTGCTCGGAAAAGACCTTCATTGTCCCCGTCGTTCGCAACTAAGTGCGCCCCAACGCTATATGCACCCCTGTTGTCGTCAGGACCCAGTAACCCATGCCTAAACCCACTCGTCACTTACGCAGATTCCCCCCAGATAGTGACCTTATCCGGGTCTCCGCCAAACGCCTTGATATTCTGTTTTACCCACCGCATGGCAACCCGCTGATCTCGAAGCGCCAGATTGTTATTTCCAGAGGCCTAATCCGTCAGCCCCGATCGCACAACCAAATAGAGGGATAACAACTGTTAAAAGGCTTACCCGAACCTCCTCAGAATCCAAAAGACCAAAAGCCGCCAGACGGTAATTAATCGAAACTCCCAAGACAGGTTTATCGTTCAATGCGCCCTGGCGAACAATGTAACTCATATTGTACCTGCCAGACAAACCCAATCAGCACCTAACCAGGGTTTTTAAGATGTAGCACCTTACCTCGGATCCCCCGTTGCGCCCTGTTGCCATCCACCTCCGAAAATCCATAACATGACCGGGAGCAGTTGGGTCTCGTTGGATTGTAGCTTAGGTCGGATAATATTCAAATTATGGCAATCCTCGTTCAATTGTATCAAGCCCATATCGACCAGTTTTGTCTCATCGGACCCGTATCCAGGGCATTCATAGCCGTACTCTGTAGCATTGTAAAGCACTGCCTCCTGAGATATGTTCAAGTCGTCTATGGAGGCTGTGTATGCCCCAGAGTCGCTGTCATCGGCAGTATAAATTGTCTTCAGGGATGACGGGGTAAACCGGACAGGCTTGTCTGCGTATTTGATGCCGAGGAATAATTCCTGGTCGAATTCGGGCAAAGAACGACCGACGAAGACGGTTTCTGTCTGTGGATTATTCGACACTATGGTAGCCACGGGTAGCGATGGGCTTCCATCGGCTCTAGTAGCTTTTGATGAACTTGGAAGAGCAGAAACGGACACCCCAAGGGTGAGAGCTACCCAAAACAGTTTCTGGTAATAGCAAGTCATGATTCCATGGATGACACAATTGGCTCCAAATAAAGCCAGGGGCCTCAAAGATATATGTGATATACCATGACGGCCATCTCCACGTCCATATGAAAGTGAATTTCTCCGAGTGGACCATCATATTGACTGTTTGCGGGGCCCGAATTTCAGAGTTGATCAACATTGAACGATTATTCAACAGTCTATGCTTGGCTAAATCTCCCTAAATCGGCCAAGAGAAACGGCTGGATTGGCTAGTCATTAGACCTTACAATACCCTTCATGAGATAACTTGGAAGTCGGATTCCTTTATTGGAGTGCATGCACATTTCCACTAATAAGAGATCGCACTTTTTCTAAGCCTCAGTGCTAGCTTAGGAGTCTGCATCAAACATTCCACCAATTAGAGCATTGGTTTTTCTGTCACCACTGCGACCATCTCACTCTAACCCCACGGCGATCAATCCCCTCACTATTTTAGCCTGCTCCGCCGGCTTTTAGTGCAGCGCTAAACCTCAGCTTTCAGCTTGTTCTATAGTGGGATCTCATATAGGATTCGAATCACATACCGATTTCCTTATTTCCGTTAAGCTTTTCTAGCTCACTGCCGGAGCATACAGTATACATACAATGTCTGCCGTATGATATCTTCTATCTCACGTTTGCTGGCATATAGCTACTACAAAGCATTCTCAATCATACATCATCTCGTATATGTCGCGAAACCTTAGCTGATCACTTCACTATATATTCATTTTCTCGTCACATATCATCAATCCAAGTTGCCAATCCTGTCAAAGCTCTCAACAGTGAGGTAGAACTCACATACGGAAACATCAGCTATGTCTACGGTTACGCTTTCTCCCCACCATCAACACTCCCACTATGTCCAGTGCGCAGACATATTAAGTTCGAAACAAGAAGGAGGCACCTCACTTCATATGCATATCTGACAGCAAACAACTTCCACAAAGCAGGAAGCATGTCCAGAACATGCACCTTCCCTTCGACACT